ATCAGTTGCTATTTAATCTCGTGTGACATAATTCTTGTGCCTTCAAATAAAATAAACAGTAATCAAATATTTTTGACTGTTCTCTCAAATCCAACTTCTGCAATTGATATGACAAAAAATTTTGTTCGATACGTTATGCTCAAAGGTAGGGATCCTGACAAACTTGAAGTGAAGCCACTCGTTTAAGGCTATGGATACATTCTCATCAAGACCGATAAATAACTCGGTCTTGATGATAATGCGCCCCATAGCCTCACAGTCCATATTCTCAAACTCGTAATGTCACTTCAAGCCGTCAAAATCCCTACTTTTGCGCATATGTATCGAAAATAACTATTTTCATTCTCACATATAACTTAAGATGGCCACATATAAACAAATAAAAAATTTTTCCACGACCACATATATATTTTTTGCATGTAATGCTTTTATAAAATGTAATGGTTTAAATTCAAACACACACAAAATTTTGTATAAATTTTCCCATACTCAAAGCTTTAATCATCAAATGAAAATTTAATTATATTCGAATCATTGTATCTGTCACAATGAACTGAAGATATTTTGATTCAAATATCCGAATTGATATTATCGATAAGAGTATGACGTACTCGGTTAACTTAGTCAGAAATGAAGATTGAGATATTTCCAAAGAATAAGAGATTTGAGGTAGCAAACTCGATTTATATTACTCAAGTCTATCTTCCGAACTATTGATTCTGTCCCTCGCAACAACAAAAGTTATTCGGAAACGGGAAAGATTGAAATATAGGGAAATTCATAACTTTTAAACTGACTTTTGGAGAATCTTTTTTCTTAGTTTATATGGATGAAAAATTTTCCACGAAGAAAGTATGTGTGGCACAATAATCTACAATGTATAAAGTTAAAAAATTTTTGATTTTTAATTATTTATATAAAAATTATTATATAAAGTCCATGTAAAAATGATTGAAATGTAGAAGAAAAAATAATGAAATGGATAATAGAAAAAATAACTTTTGAACGCGTATAAAATTTTTAAGTTGTTAAAAAAGCTCATCTTTTTTAAAAGATAAAACATTTTAATGAAAAAATAGCGTGATAAAATTTAAGTCTTTGGTACTATAAAACCAGTTTTTGTCTAATCCTGATTAAAGTATTATTTTAGTTACTGTAAACTGTAATTTTCAATTTTCTACCGTAGTTTTTATTCTATAAAACCTTCTTTAATAAATTTAATTAAACTTTTTTTAGTACATAGTAGATGAATCGGTCTCACGAGTATGTTGAATCAGTGAAACTTTACAATTTTATTCCCGTGAACATTCATATCGGCTAAATGATGAATCGCAGTAGATGCGATATTAACACTAATAAATTGTCCTAGTAGTAGTTTGCATCAATTATTAAAACAATAAATAATAAAAATGTAAAATATAACTTAATATTTGAAGGCTTCAATAAACAAGAATGAGAAAAACTAAATTTCAGATATTTATCTCCAGTCACGTTTTACATTTTTATTAAGTGAAAACTTTTTCTTAAAAAACGTACGTGCCAAATTTATGAGTCATATTTCAAGTGAGATATTTAATAAATGTTCGTCACAGAAGACAATATCGAATTTTTCATAAATCTCGGCATGAACGCTGAATCTATTTGTTACATATATGTTGATTAAATATTTCATAAAAATTATATTGTATAAAATAAAGTGGAAATTAACATTTTAAGTTAATTAATGCATTTTGTTAAAATAATTATATTAGTGTCATTAATAAAAAAGCTGATTGATTCGAATCAGTCACTTTTTAGTTATTCAAAAGTAAGCTTTACATTAAGGATTTTTTGCAAAATTTTTTTGAAATCAAATACAAAAGAATGTTTTATCAGGCTTTGAATATTGAATTGAATCGATATATTATAGAGATACTTTTAAATATGTTTAAACTTGTTTGTTCTGGCAAAAAAAGATAAATAAATCAATAAATAAAAAATAAAAAAAGTAAAGTAAACATTTCGTTGTTTTTGTTGCATTAAAATAATATTTTATTCATTGCTTACTGAGGGAATATTTTATTGAATTTAATTTAATATATGACCGGAAATAAAAAAAATGTAAAAATATTACGGATGTGCTGTACTATCTCCTATTTATTTTTTGAATAAAAATATAAGACTGATATTTACACTGCACAAATATAGTAAAAATAAACTGTCGAATAATAAACATAAATGATAAATTAAATTATGTGAATAATTAAAGTGAATTATTTTTATCTTAACAAGTTTGTGGGAAGAAGAGTAAAGTTGTTAAATAGTGGAAAAAATTTACAGTCTTGTTTCGTTTCGAAAAAAGTAAGAATAAGAATTTACTTCATTGGGCAAGAAAGCTCTTCTGATCACTCGTCTCTACATTTATCTTTCCTTTTTATTTTTATACTCATTCTCTTATTTTTTTCCTCTTTTTTTTATCCTTTTTCTTTTTCTTACTCTTCAGTCTCTTTTTTTTATCCATTTCTTTTCTTTTAAACTTTTTATATTTTTTTCCTTCTCATTCACCGAATCGGTGACGATTTGCAGTAGAACGGTGAATACGTTGAACGTTGGAGAGAAAATGTGGTTTTATCCCTCGCTCGTCTTTCAACTTACTTATAAAAGGAAACCTCAGCATTTCGCATCGTTCACTGATTTAGACCAATCACTAAATATTTTATCAAATTAATTATGGAATTCATGCTATCTCTATAAATTTGATGATTATTCTTGTGGTTGTGAATTTTTGGTGAGTATTTTATTAATTAGGCTAGAAGTATATTGACACTAAATATGTCTAAAAATTTAATTTTTCATCGATAACACACAATTATAATCAATCAATTGTTGAAAATTCAGAAGCGTTAAAAAGATTTTTCTTCAAAAATTTACTGTAAAAAATTTTATTTCTTAATAAAGAAGTATCCAAAAATTTTTATTTTGTATTTCTCTACAGTCTTATTTTTCAAGTTTCAAATAATTGTTAATTCGAATGCAAAGAAACTTTACATCAAACTTACAGTTCAAACATTTTTGGTACAATTAAATGCACGGAAAAAAAAAGTAAAATATTGCTTGAATTTCACAAGAACAATTACTGTGACAGATAGTAGGAATAAGAAACCGAGATAAAAAGTAAATTACAGTGAAAATTACTAGAATAATCCAATTGCGACGTATTAATCTTATTGTGCGTCATAGAATTTCTTCAGATCGTAATTGTAAAATTTTGCTTTATTCTGGTGAAATAATATTCTACTATATCGATTATTATGTTCAGGTAGAGATACTTGTGTTCAAGCGTTTAGTGTAAACATAGTAATTATCTTGAGGGCTCCGTAACAACAAACGATACAATTAATCACTGTGAGTAAATATTTATACTTGTATAAAACTCGGTGCAAATGATTGTTTTTTCGTTGAGTGAAATTAACTTTTAAAAATCTAATGTCAAATTAATCTTGATTTAAGTAGAAAAATTCTTAAGATAAAAAATTGTTCTTGGTTTGAGTAAATTTTACTTTATTCAAAAGTTTTTCGTCTTGATTCAAAACAATGAAACTTTTTAAAATTATTTTCTTGGTTTAAGAATTTTTCTCTTGATTCAAGTCCATTTTTTTTTCAGTTTAGAGATCGATGAGTCAAAGTTTTATGTAGCTCTATCTTAAATTGCTAATTTGCTAATTTCAATGGTATTTTTTTAAATATAAGTTACTCACATGGTAAAAAAATAGTTTTCTTACTACGCTGGTCGAAAGTACGGGTTCCCGCTGCGATTTCACTGCAGAAAGCCTCACATTTATGCCGTGGTCGAGTCGCGCATGCGCTCTACGACGGGGAGCCGAAAAAATGTATTCATGCACTGACAACGAGTCACGAGGCGGCAGAAAGTCCGAAAGTCGGTAGTCGCGCTCACTCTATTACTTATGTATACAAGCCTAACCTTACTTGTGATTGTTATGAATGTATCTGTTTTGTTATGTGTCAATGATTTTAAGTTGAAACTAAGTTAATTACAGAAAATGAATAATTATTTTAATGAAATGAGACTTGTTAAATATTTAAATTACAAATAAAAAAAAATATATTTTATTCTGATAGATTTTCTCAAATAAATAAATAAATTCATTATTGAACAAGTAATTATTTTAAAAAATACACAAACAGATTTTTTAAAAAATTTTTTTTTCTATGCAATTCACGATTATGAATTCATTTTTGTGTTTTTTTTTTTTTTTTTTTTTTTAATTTTTAATATCAGAATTAATTTATAATATATTTAAAACTTTAAAATTATTGAATTAAATTAAAATCTTTTCTTAAAAGAAAGTAGTAATATGATAGATTATATGACTACGATTATCATCCATGATTTATAAACAATAATGAAAATTATCAGGAACTTGGACTCTAAAAAATAACTCAGTGTCAAATTTTTTAAATGTTGCAACGTTTCGTTGTATTTCACAACTTCATCAGGCAAACTGTACAAAAGAAAACACGTTGTTAATAACAATATGACAAGGATAACAAAAAGATAAATATTAAAAAATCTTACATTTAAGGGTAACACTGTTGTATCTCAAAATAAACTCCGAAAAATTTCATTGTTTTACAATATATAAATAAAGTTGAACAAGTGGTAACCATAATATTAAGAAAACTTGGTCAATTTCTATTCCATTTAAACAAATTAGTCAACAATAATAAGTTATAAAATTACAATAATTACATTCAAGACAGACAGCAACAGACTGAGTGTAAACAACTGCAATGGTAAAAACAGTTGTGCTTCTCCAATCTACTATGCCGACTCTCAATTTTGAAATGATTATGATTTAAAATATTAATTAATACAAATAATCTCAGTCAAATAAATAAATAAAAATTATCTTAAAGTAATCCCTATAAAAAATTCTTACTATTTCATTTTTTACAAAATCACCTTTCAAAGAAAAATATTTTCCAAGAGAAAAAAATTATTATTGCATGAATCTTTTAGCCACTGATATGATGTCACTGTATGATGAACTTAACCCCTGAGTATCAGACCTAAAGTTGACGCAATCAAACACTTTAATGAAAAACATCTCACTGATGTTACGTTTTAGAAAATGAGATTCATAGTCTAAAATATGAGCAGCGTCAAACTGAAAGTCATGCCCGCTCTCAAAGTGATGATCCGCCAATGCCGTCATGTTACTCTTGTTAATGTTGACAGGTCTGCAATCGTTGATGTGTTGATTAATCCGCTTCTTAAGTTTCTGCTTCGCTTGTCCTATATATGATTTGCCACAAGTGCAAGGGATCCGATACACCAAGCAAGATCTACCCACTTATCAACTGGATCTTTTAGATGACTATAAAGATCTTTGATTTTACACAAATTGTAAAAGACTAATTTACAATTAGTCTGCCTGAACAAGCATCCAATCCTGGGTGACAAATCTTTAATATAGGGAAACTTACAGAACGACCACCCTCTCAAACCAGCCTCAATCCTCAAATTACTATTAATTCTATCATTAGTAATTTTCTCACACTTCCTGAGAAGAGATGACGAATAATTGTTGTTCATGAGCAAGTGTTTCACTTTACCAGTACTTACAACCACCATATTCACATGACTTAGACGTATGGCTCTGTTAAAGAAACCTTGTGCTACACCTAGCTTCTGGCTCAGAGGATGATTTGATTTGAAGTTCAGAACTCTCCCCGAACTATATGGCTTTTGATACCATGAAGTTCTGAGTTCCCCAGATCCTGTTCTTTCCACCAATACATCCAAATACGGAATTTTACCATCTTGTTCAACTTCAATTGTGAATTGGATGTCTTTATTAATTGAATTGAACACCTTTACAACCATATCAACTTTATCCCTTGGTGTAATGAGAAAGAGATCATCCACATATGCTGCTACAACCGGAATCTCAAAATCTAACTTCTCCAGGGCTTTTGATATCACATAATCTACTGCAGTGATGGCAATCACGGGACTTGCTGGACTACCCATCCCGCATCCTTCTTTCTGTATATAATAATTCCTTTGAAACAGGAAATACCCAGAGTGAAAACAAAATTTCACGAGATCTAATAGGAGATCTTGGTCCAAATTGATAAAATCTTTTATGACATTCCACCGTTCTTTAATGATGTTAATTATTAGGTCTTGCTTCACATTAGTGAATAATGAAACTACATCTAAAGAAATGAGTAAGTAGTCATCATCCACCAACACAGACTTAATTCTCTCAACGAATTGAAAGGAGTCTTTCATATTGAATTCAAAACTCAGAACATATGGAGACAAGATTTTATGAACAAACTTCGAAATTTCATAACCCGGTGAACCAATATTGCTAACAACTGGCCTCAACTTACAACCAGCTTTGTGCGTTTTCCTTAACCCATATAATCTAGGAGGCAACGCATTATACGTACGCATATGCTTTCCCGTGATCTCATCGATTATCTCTCTCTCTTGCATTTTTATTTATTTATTTGACTGAGATTATTTGTATTAATTAATATTTTAAATCATAATCATTTCAAAATTGAGAGTCGGCATAGTAGATTGGAGAAGCACAACTGTTTTTACCATTGCAGTTGTTTACACTCAGTCTGTTGCTGTCTGTCTTGAATGTAATTATTGTAATTTTATAACTTATTATTGTTGACTAATTTGTTTAAATGGAATAGAAATTGACCAAGTTTTCTTAATATTATGGTTTCCACTTGTTCAACTTTATTTATATATTGTAAAACGATGAAATTTTTCGGAGTTTATTTTGAGATACAACAGTGTTAACCTTAAATGTAAGATTTTTTAATATTTATCTTTTTGTTATCCTTGTCATATTGTTATTAACAATGTGTTTTCTTTTGTACAGTTTGCTTGATGAAGTTGTGAAATACAACGAAACGTTGCAACATTTAAAAAATTTGACACTGAGTTATTTTTTATAGTCCAAGTTCCTGATAATTTTCATTATTGATAGATTATATATTAATATCTTTATTGACAGGTGTATTTGATGCCTGCCCCCCCCCCCGACCAGCAGCACTCGCTTCGCTCGTGCCGCAAATGTCGGGGGCAGGCATCAATTTTTTTCAACGCAATTTTTAACGTACTTTCGACCGCATAGCAAGAAAAATAGTATACACTACATGGGCAGAAATTTGAGAGCCCTGAACTGCGTGCCATGATGCCTTCGGCTTCGCCTCGGGCACATGGCGCGCAGTGCAGGAATCTCAACTTTCTGCCCTTGTAGTGTAATATACTATTTCTTTTTTTGACTATATAGCAGTAATGAACATTAAATTCTCGTCTCTGCATTGATAAAAGGATTCATTAGCTGTTATTAAATTTAATTATTTTGAAACAATTTGTTCATGTATTAAATGTAATTAATTATTTTTTAACTTTTATCAACTTTTAATAACTATTAGCAAATTCTCTCTTCAGTATAAAGCATCGGATACAAGAGAAACTTGTTGTTTCTAATGACGGCTCAAATAATACTGTTAAATTTTAATTAAAATCATAGCTGTTTGAATTTTATAAGGCCTTATTATACAATGCGTTTTACTTTGTACTGAAAGCTAAAATTACTAGATATTTTTTTTTTCTCATATATAGGTTGAATTTTCATATTATAATTAAGGAGGAACATCACTGTGAAATAAAGGAATTTGGGGATCGGATTTTTTTATTTTATTAAGGGTACATTAAAGATTATTACCCTAAATTTTTATTGTAAAATATTTAATTATTACAAAGTTATTAACAATCTCGTAAAGCACTAGAAAAAATTTCCCCCTCCATAGTCGGATCGATAACTCAAAAACGGATCATCTGAAAATAAAAACCCAAATTGCTTTTTAATCAGTAAGGATGTACTTATCGTCGCACGTACGGAATTAAAAAAAAATTTTTTTATTTTAAAAATTTTTTGAGTCGGGTTAAATAAAAAAATAAACAGTGAGAAAATTTTCAATCAGTCGCCATTTTTTTAAGAATTAAAATTTTCAAAATTCCGTAGGTGCGACGATAACTCCATCCTTATAAAAAAAAATTTTTTTATTTTAAAAATTTTTTGAGTCGGGTTAAATAAAAAAATAAACAGTGAGAAAATTTTCAATCAGTCGCCATTTTTTTAAGAATTAAAATTTTCAAAATTCCGTAGGTGCGACGATAACTCCATCCTTATACTGATTAAAAAACAATTTGGGTTTTTATTTCCAGATGATCCATTTTTGAATTGTCGAACCGACCATGGAGGGGGAAATTTTTTTTAGTGCTCTACGAGATTGTTAATAACTTTGTAATAATTAAGTATTTTTTAATAAAAATTTACGGTAATAACCTTTAATGTACCCTTAATAAAATAAAAAAAATCCGATCCCCAAATTCCTTTATTTTCCCTGTCAAAAAAATTCCTGAAAATCACCTCTTTTTTTCGATCGTCACAGTGGTATTCCCCCTTAATTCATGTAGTATCATGAATACTGGATATGACATTGATGTTGTTAATACCTAAAAAGGAAACCACAGGTCAGATAATTTAAGTGTTATGTTTATTGGGAAAATATGACAGAGGTTTGTCTATAAGAAATAGTTCTCCAGGACTCACTTCTCAGTCCCTTATTCTCAATTACTCTTCCTACTACTTAGGCCTCTATATTTACTTAAATCCTATAATTTATGATACCTTAAACCCTTAGTTACAAAAGATAAAAACTCTACAGTGACCATAAAACTAAAAAAAAATAGGCTACAGCCTAATATTACAACTCTACATCCATTTATCGTTTATTTTTTTACTAGCTAAAAAAAATGCATAAAGTTTTATACAGTAACAACCTTAACTTCTGCCTACTGAATCTCACTGAATAAATTAAAATTGCTGTTATCTTGTCATAATTGTGTTGTTTATTATGAGCCCCAAAATGACTGATTAACTTGACAGTTAAAAACTGTAAAATTGGTCTCAAATTCTCTCTCGTTTCCACAGGCTCTAGGCAGTAAAACTCCAAGTTATAATGCATAACATGTGATATAAAAAATCTAGTGTGCAGCACGAAATGAAACGTGAGTCAGACGAGAAGCGCGTGTTGACTGCCTGAGCAAAGCGTCTTGTTTTATCCCTTGCTAGGCGACATATTATTAAATAAGATCGAAAAATATTGCTATTTTTTAAATTTTGACCTCTTTGATTATTTTTGCTAATTAGATAGATAGATTGATTTGCTTTATTATGCCAAGGCCTAATGGCCGAATGGCAAACTTATAAAAAATACAGACAAAATTAAGGGTACATCATATATACATATAAAAATAATGAAAAGTACACAATTAAAGTAATGATTAACAATATTGAGTAGTATCATTATTATTAATATTAATAGTATTTGCTATTATCGTAACTATTTAATTATAATTAAATTACCGTTTTTTCAATGAGTTTAATTTTTTTATTTAACCTAATGTTTTATTTGTAAGTTAATTATAATTGCCATCTGTGGTGTAATAAAAGTTATATTTATAGATAAAATATAAAAATATAAACAAAAAAGTTTTATTAAAAAACAAATTTCATTATAAAACCATCGTTCAAGCAAAGTAAAGTTGAAATCACACAATTGGCTTAAAAAAAATAATAATATTATTAATTTAGATAGATACAAAAGAGTTCTAACTAAAGAATGTTTTTGTCTGACAAGTGGTTAACGTTTTTTGATTTTAAGTACATACTACCTCAATAATTTAAATAATCCTTCACCGTGTCTTTGTACTGTACTTACGAGTAGTAGAGTCGTTACATTGTAACAGACGACTCGACAGTGGTCGGTTTCTTTTTATTCTTCTTTTAGTTATTTTTTGATATTTTTTTTATTCTATTCTTTTTGTCCACTATCGCTACCTCTGGATCTCAACTTCTCATGTTCACTCAGAGCAGGCAACCAGGCTTTTGTTCACTCAGTACTTCAGCGGCCCTTCGCGCTCGTCCAAGCTTGAGATACTCTTCGCGATCTCGAAATGAATATCCACGCAGAACTTGAGATTCTTTTCAGTGGTTTTTATTTTTTAATAGAACAATTCAGACGTGGAAATACGTTGATATTTTCTTGTATATATTAAAAAATAATAATAATAATAATAATAATAATAATAATAATAATAAAAACAATATGATGGTAAGAAGTTTTTATTTTTCGTTTTTCGTAATTCAACATTTTTTGAATGACACTAACAATTATATACTATACAGTCGTTAAATACAAGATGCATGCAGTGGTACTTGTTACGCAGCAATTCATACAGCAGTTTAAATTTAATAATTGACACGCTGAACTGAATTTTAGTTCATTTATATTTCGGAATTCCTCTTTATTGTTGGAGTTTATCGCATTATTAAATTTAATATAATTTTCTCAGTTATTATTTTGTAATTTTTATTTTGAATCTTAATCAGTTTAGATTCTTCGCAATAATACTCATTTATAAAAAAAAAAAATAATAATGAAATAAAGACCCAGAAGAGGGGATTACAAGAACTAGGTCTCAAGAGTCTAGATTTCAGTTTATCTTATTAAAATTTATTATTAATTTTAATTAATAAAATTATATAGAAAAGTTGATTCATCAGTGAGTTCAAAAATTCTTAGTCATAAATTTAGCGTTATCATACAGAATCATAATGTAGTTTTTTGATTAAGTTGATTTTTTCTTAAAATTTTTTTAATCAATTTTTTCAATGATGAGAAAAAAAAACTGTAATCTTGCGCAATTTTTAAAGTGAAAATAAAATTTTTGTTCCCGTGAAAAAAATATTCCGATGTAAAAAAAATATACTTATTCTGTGCAAAAAAATCTATCTCATAATTAATCTTTAAATTTTTATTTTGAAATTAATATGATTTTTTAATGAAATTATTATTTACTCACGTAAAAGTATGAAAAAAATAAATAAATAAACTAAGTTGAATTTTATGGATCTTTTTCTCTACAGACAAAACGAAAGATATTTTTAGCTTTGTTGTAATACCTAACCAAGGCAGTGAAGAGAAGTGATCTATAATAAATTTGATAAGCATTATTATCAAAATTTTGATGAATTTATTATAAAGCCATATTTATTTAAAAATATGAATTTGAAAATGATATTAGTAAATCTAAATTTATTTTTGCTCGGGATGGATAATTTTTAATAAATGTACACAGAAAAAATATGTTCTTGAATCAAGTATGTAATTTTGACGAACTTAATAGGCCAT